ACACCTCTTTCAAAGCTTGCCCTGAAATGTATTATGCGTATGGAGCGAAATTTAAGCACATCTTCATCTAAGAATCTCGACAAGAGCTCTAATTATCACGTACTCGAAACGCCGAGGGACGACGAAAAAAAACCCGTGATACCACACGCGTGAAGGCGCTTTATGTATTATATATTTTCGACCTTATACGGAGTGTGCATGCGCGCCTAGATCTGCCATAGATAAGTAATCAGTCGCGGATATCTTCATAATTTTCCATATAATTAGATTTAGCACTTACTCTGCGCGCGTGGCCACGGCTCTATAAGTATAAGCTCGCGACGAATGTAGATTTGTGAGATTATCGCATCTGCATTATAAGAACAACTTGGGCAATTATTAATTTAATTTATGGTCTAAACTGCTATACATTTATGAAATTTAAAATTGTTACAAGATTTTCTATATGAAAGAGCGCGGGAGATGCGAACTAATGAAGTTTTATTCAAAGAATTTACCTCCCTGTTACAACTGCAAGTGAGTGTAAATGTAGAAGGTCGAAGATTAAAGTTTCGAGGATTAATTGCTGGCTAGAACACATTTGAAAGCTTTCGATTTAACTCATTCGTTGTGATGCTGTTCATTTGATTTTTTCACGATTAAATAAAACGTGCAATACTTTCCAAAGTCAAATTAATTTTGATGGGCTGATACGAGCCAATATAAATATGATTCTATATAAAATAATAATTTCTTTCGACCAGAAAAAATATATACCTCGGAGAATCAGCCATATAGGGTCAGGTGGATTAAAATAATTAATTACCATAGTTTTATAAAACATATGATTTGAATTAATATCATTTGTGAAGAATTAAAAGCAATATACGGAATAATTTGTATTTGTTGAATTGATTCACAGTAAAGCTTGAATAAAAGATTAGTTTAAAATTCTTAGATAAGTTTACTGATAGTTCAAATTTTTAGAAAAAACATTCCAAAAAATCTGAGCACTTTAAAAGTTTACTAATACAGAGAGAATTACAAAAGTCAAAATCTAATAAAGTTTGATCCGTTCATTTGTCAAGTTCAACCGCTAAAAAATTCACAAAGCTTTTTATGCATGCTAACTAATGTCCTATATAATGCTAATCAACATTTCTTTGTGGTAGAATTAGAAAATAGGAATAGAAACAATGTCTTATTTTACTATTAATTTAATAAAATAGGAACAATAACATTTTCAGGAAGAAGCTCTTTGTGTATACGTATTGGTTATTGCGTTTTGCTTTTTTCAATATATTTCGGGACGAAAATTAAAATCTCATAAACCCTCGAAATGAAGTTCAAATAAAAAACGTATGATCGATCGCGCACTGTGTATGAAAAAATATAGTCTACATTTCGATATATCGTGCCTATCGTATGGTGAATATCAAAGAAACATGTATGTGTTACAAATATATAGTTGAATGTTTTAAAACGAATGAGGTAAATATCAGTTTTTGGGAGAAAAACCCTTCTCGATATGCGCACAGCTCTGGTCATCTTTCTCCGATGCAATACGCGTTCGATACTCTCTTTTCTATTTCCCATCGCCGTTGAAGTGAACTTTTTCTTTCTTCTCGATCGCACACCGAGTATTAGCTCTATGTATGTGTGTTAGTGTACTCCCTAGAGGGCGAGTTTACTGTACGCGGGCACTTGACCGTGTCTTTCTTCATTTTTTATTTCATTTGTGAAAAAGTCGGTACTGAACTTCCAAGCACAGTTATCCGATCCAACCCACACACACACACACACACACGTACGCACACGCGCGCATGCACTGCAGACACCGCTTAGCGACTGCATAGGCAGTGGTCAATCAATGAAAAACTTTTTTTCTCGGCTTGTTTTTTTTCTCCTCCTACTTAGTTCACGAGGTCTTGATTGCTCCGGTATACGTGCGCTTACGATCGGTGCACGCGTGTCTTTTTATCGCTCGTGTTGGAGTTGGAGATTACCTCAAGACCAGCCACGATGGCGATCGCATTGATTTTCACATCAAGCTGGAAAATCGTTTGAATAAATCCGTCTCTCTAGCGAGTTGCGGTTGTACGTCGATCAATACAAGGTTTTTTTCCTCACTTACACGCACACACGCACACACACACACACGTATAAGAGCCTTATATATATGTGTGTTCTACAGATCGTTGAAAATTAGCATTGCAAGCGCGCCAGAGATCGGCTAACGATATACGTGTCCAACGAACTCGTTATTTCTCTCTCTCTCTCTCTCTCTCTCTCTCTCTCTCTCCAAGCTCTCTTATCTGCGCGAGCAAGCTGGATACACGCGCACAGGGACTGCCACGAAAAACAGCACGTGTATACCGCGAGCTGCGTAGGTATTAAAGCTACACTTGTTCGGGCCAGATAAAAGAAAATATATATATTAACTCGTTGCATACATTAAATTCAGCGTGTATATAGGTGGTGTTGTTGGTGGCGGTGGCGGTGAAAATGAAAATGAATTTGCGCAAGCGACTCCGAGGCATTTGTTTCGAAGGCAGTAGATATATATACGCACACTAGTGTACGCACAGATACACGAAAGGAAACGGGACTTCCGATACAGCATATATATAAGGAGCCAATGGCGCTTTACATACCCACATTACTTACTGCAGCGAAGAACCGCGCCGCGCGCACCATAAGCCTCTAATACCGAGCTCTGCAGCGTTCTGTTTTCTTCTTTGCTTTCTCTCGCGAGTGCGCCTCGACCGAGCTCGCGCACAGCAAATACTTACAACTCGACTTTTTTTCTGTTTTCTTTTTTCTTTTTGCTTTTTTCGTGCGAGGAAAAATGATGGAGCAACGAGCAGCTGTATAGTATAGCCTATGGGCGCTCACGTACACACATACACGCGCGCGCGAGCGCCGATTCAATGCGGCCGGCTCGCGAGCCCGCGCGCGATCTTGATATATATGCTAAATGGCATATTATACCTGCTTATTTCGTATATACGTCCGATCGATCTCTCGGTGGCAATTCCCCGATATTATAAAGCGTGTAATTAATTAATCACTTTGCGCCTTGATTTGCATAATTACAGCGATCGCGACAGGTATAAACGTCTTCCTTGGACTTTCGATGATTTCGCGCGTACACGAGTATTATAACTTATAATAATAACTAGACTGTATATACTCCAATGATAAGCATAACAAAATATTATTATTCCAATTGTGTAATTGTGATGAAGAAAAAGGTCTCTGCATTTTCGAGACGCCTAACCGAAGCAGAGAATAAACTTCTACAAACATTAATTTTTTCGATTGAAAAGTTCTTCTTGTGTATACTCGATGGATATACTGAAAAACAGGCTCGAAAACTTGCTATGGATCTTGGAGAACGATTATGAGAAAATTCGGGGTCGAGTACTTATTGAGAGCACGAATCAAAAAATTAATAATCGTTTGATGAACAAAAATGACCATTTAAAATATATATTAAAACCTATGCAATTGGTTTGTTTTTGGCATTTTTCTGTGAAAATTAACATGAATATTAAGTGCATTTTAATTGTTTTAAAATATTAAGACTAGTTGACTCGTTTTAAAATATTAAATCACGATAACACCACTTTAAGCCTCTACCGTTAGATGGCGAATACCCTAATCAGTTAATCTGCAAATGGTAAAGTCAAAACAATTGTATAAATCAAAACGTAATTTTTTTATAGTTAAGGATATGGTAATTTTACTTGAGTAAGCCAAAATCTAGTCATAAAATTTTGAGCATTTTTGCAAGGATATACTCTATTTGATAACGATTTCGCTTACAGGCGCGCAAAACACGCACCGCAGATAAAAATTGCGCTATTTCGCGCTTTTAATTATCCGGTTACCGCATCTATAGCTCATGCGTCGCTAAACCAGAAGTTACAAACGCGAAATTGCTCGAAGCAGTTTCCGCTTGTTGCGTGCCGTATTTGTGGACGATTAAAAGATTCGCGCACGTGCCTCGCATACTATACAGCTTTATTACAATTCATCTTTAATAATCGTGGGTAGAAGCAAAGGACGATACGAAAATTTGGTCCGATTTCCTGTGGCCTTTTACGCTATAGCAATAAATAGTTAATTTTTGACAGCGGGCATTATTTGCCTTGGCACATTTGCGCAAAATTCACAGCACACATAATATGCAACAAGCAGACTCGCTCTTTGCAATGTTTTTGTGGCTGTGCATACGAATGCTTTGCATTTTCGGCAGTTGGAAACAAATTTTTATATATATGAACTCGCGCGCGCGTCGGCATTAGTAGGTCACTTTTACCCTTTTCCGATTGGAATCGATCCAGCATACAGTGTGTGTGTATACACACAACGTGCGAGAATTTTCAGGTCTTATCTCTCTCTCTCTCGGCCCCGTATATTTATAAACATATATTCGCGCTCGCCATGCACAGTCGAGATTTTATCCGGTATTATAAGAGGCTGCACACATTCACGCGTGCGTACATACATGTGTGTGTGTGTGTGTGTATGTATGAACAGACTGCGGACATGGTATATACACTCATTGTATGATACACATACAAGATTTGTATATTAGCAGAGGGACTGCACGCGTGTACGTATATACGTATATGCATGCAGCAAGGTGACGTGAATTTTTTCCCCAGATGTGGGTTCCGATCTTATGCAGCGCACTACAACGTTTGCGCACGACGTTTTTTTAGATTTTGCAGAAAGGAAGGATAGACACGTGAAAGATTTTCGTTGCGATTCGGCTGCAGATAAGCCGCAGCCGTATTTATAAGCGCCTGTCGCTGGGCTTTTTTTCAAATGAAATTTATCGTCGCTTTACGCGCGCGATATTTATGAACGATATGATACGCGTGTGAGTCAGTGTGTGTGCGCGTGTGTTTGCGAGCGTGGCGAGGGAAGCAAAAAAAGCTCATTTATGCATTGTTACAATACGATGTATATTTTTTTCTTTTCTATCGCTTTTTTCCGCTCTTCCTCGTGTTTCACGTCTTGCAGCCGTTGAGAAAAGCGGTCCCGTAGCGAGCGCGCAATAATTTCTCAAGCGCGGCGGCTCGTTTACTCAGCGGTCTGGCAGCTACGATTTTCGGATTCGGGCTCAGTACCATGTGTTTGCCCTGGGGGCCGGAATCGGGCCAGGGAATATCGGCCGGCTCGGCAGACGGCGGTGTGGGATTGCTGCAGCCGAAAATTAACGTCGATCAGTGAAATTGGAGCGATTTTCAGGGCCTGTCGTCCAGGCGATAGATCAACTTACTCGTATTTGGCGAAATTCGTTATGAGTCTTGTGAATCGGTCGATCATGGCATTTGTGTTGGAATCGTTGAAGGCAAGTTCAGCCACCGGAATGTGGAACAAAAAGGGTAAATCTTCTGCATGCCCTACACCTACGATTTTCGAACAACATTTATTTAAAGAGCTTAAATTTGATTTTATAAACAGTTTGATGTAGTTCTGTCGTACTTACCAGTGAGATTAAAAATATTGTTTCCTCGTTGAAATATACCCGAGCTTTGAATAAATTTGTAATAATAAATCGGGTAGCCGTTCCTCTTAGCCATTAATCGCTGCTTCGTATCGATGCCAATATCGTAGATGTATTCCGAGGTTATCTTGAAATTAAATTCTTAATGAAACAATGTTTCATTGAAACATATTATCGTAGATGTAAAAAACGAGCATTCGCGCGACATACTGTCAGCAATTCATTGAATATTTTCCTCGGCCTCTCCGAGACTCTTTCCTTGCTGAGTTTTTCAATGTCTTTGAAGATGTTGCTCTCAATGCCGAAAGTTATGTTCAAGGTGTTTTTCAAAAGGTTTTTCAGCAGAAAAAATATAATACCTAGTTACAGATTGGGAAAATGAAAGAAAAACGTCTGCAAAAATTATTATTATTCTTTATAGTACCTCTAGGATAACTTATCATTTCCAAGGAGGTAAGACCCATAATATGAGGCATTCTGTTATATTTGCCGGATAAATAATAGTCGAGTGGGCAACGCTTCAAGAATCTCTCACCGGTCGCGGGTTTTGTCCTTTCGACTGTCGGCCGGTAACCCAACTGTATGAAGCATTTTTCAATAATCTCAAGAAATGACAAAAATGATACCTTGACGCTATCTTACGTAATTCAGGGCCAGCATATTCTTCAGTATTTCTTTAGCCGGCACATCGTACAGTCGCTCGAGCATTCGACTTTTATTCCTCGTGACGATACCCAGACTCTTCACCAATGTCAGAGCTTGGAACTCTGCCTCGGCGTTGCTCTCGAATCCCCAGTAGAAACAGAAGGGCGAGCCACTCATCGATATGGATCTACTGAAGAGTCCTAAAAAAACAATAAACCAAGTTTTTTATCAATTACATTTTTCACTGCTTCAACGTAGTACAATGTATATACCAGCTGACATTTCCGAGAGCACGTGAAGATCGACGGAGACAGCCCCGCTGCTGTGGCCGAAGAGAGTCACTCTATTGGGATTGCCACCAAAAGCTGCGATGTTTTTCTTCACCCAGCGCAGGACTAAATTCTGATCCTTGAGGGCCGCATTGCCGGTGGCGTTTTCGTGGTTCAAATTCAAAAAACCTTAAAAGAGCCAGGAGTAATCGTCTCAATAAAACGCAATCGTAATTTTTCTTAATTAATTCTCGATTTCGATCTAACCTAAGGCTCCCAAACGATAATTGAACGATACCATTATCACGTCATTTTCCATTAAATAGTCCGGCCCGTACTGCTCGGTATTGGCGTAGCCGGTTTGATAGGCACCTCCGTAGATGTAAACCATCACGGCTTTCGAGTGATTGACATTGTCCCCGAATAGCGTCTTGTATGAAACAAACCAATGGCGCATTAAAACGTAAAATTACGAAAAGTTTTGGCAAAATAATTGCTTTATACATGCGGGGTGAAGACGCTCATGTAGAGACAATTTTCGGAGCCGAAAGTGCTGAAATTCCACATGCTTATTTGGAGACAGACGTCGGACTCGTTGACCGCGAGCAGCACATCGGTCCAGCTCCTCTTTTCCACTGGAGGCTGTGTAACAGGCGGGTGAAAAAGAACACTGAGCTTCGATCGTTATCTACTTTACATGCACATATCGCAGGACGCACGCGAAGCCGCGCTCGCAATATATAACGCAACGTACTTTGAATCTCAAATGTCCGAGCGGCGGCTCGGCGTAGGGGATCCCCTTGAAAGACGCGTACTCCTGAGACTTGCGAGCCGTCCTCAAAATTTCGCCGCGCAAGGGCCCGCCCGTCGTCCGTATTATCGAGGTATACTCGGCGAGGGCCAGAATCGCTCCCGTCGCCGTCAGAGACGCGTAAAGCACGACCAGCGGGATATCCCTCGTTCTCATTGTAGTTTCGAAATAAATTGCAACAACAAATGTAGCTGCGTAGCAGTCGAAGCTGAACTGATTCGTATCGTCGTCGAGTGTCATTAGAAATAACACACATTCGTTTCGTCAATGAAACGAGATTAATTAATTGGAACAGAAAAAAAGTGACAAGTTTTTCACGCAACGCATCGCGACGGCGCTCGCGCGTGGCAAATAGGCGCACACGATCGAGCGCGATCGTTTAGCCGCACATTCGCACGTAATATAATGCAACCCGCGGCGCAAGGAGAGTTAGAAGTCGCGCAGTTCCACGCGGCATTAGCATATACGCGAGTCGACGAGCTCGCGCTCGTGCACCACGCGTAACTTTGGGACTCGCAGCTACACATATATAACGATATCGTCGCCGGAGATCTGCGACGCGAGCGCGAGCAAGATGCATGGCGTCCGGAATAATTTAACACTCGACGTCTCGAGTCGAGCGAGAGCACACGAAGCGGCCTTACGTAGATAGCGCATCGGTATACGCCTTGGGTGCAGTTGCCGCGCGCCACGTATACTTTAATATTTATAACGCAATATTGCGACACGCCGCAGCTATCCCAAAGTCATTGTCCTTTCGCGTAGTGAATGAAATTGCAGCGATGCCCGTTTATACGTATTTATTCGTACACCTTTCAACCTGAATTCTCGAAGAAAAACAAAATTTTCCGTACGGCCTAGCGCACGAGCACGATGCGATGAGTGACTGTGCGCGGCGGCGGCGGCGGCGGTGGCAGCGTTGCGGAGAAAGCTGGAGCGCAAAAAAGCCGCAGCTGCTGCTGCCGCTGCATCGGATGCGCGAAAGTAGGTAAAGACAAATCGGTAGGCGCAGAATGGACAATTGCAGCGAGCTGCCGAGGTCCACTCTAGTGTGTGTGTGTGTGTGTGTGTGTATGCGTGAGCCTATATCAGCTACAAGTATCTGCTACTGCTTTACTGCATAGATCGCCCGAGTCTGTAAGCGGACAAAAAGTCTGCACTTGCTATACTGCACACGAGTGCGCGTATGTGCCGTGTGGACGCCGCGTACAGTAGTGGCATATTCTCTAGAGAGGATGCTTTCGTCGCGGAGCCCGGCGCGACCGGTTGTTAAGCTTGACCGATTTCTATAATGGCAAAACTCGCCGTATACTCGTATGTATACGATATATAGCGATCGAGGCGTGACAAAAACGACCCGCGCACGCTGCTGCTGCCGCACATACACCTATATACATTTACGTATATAGTTTATAATATGAATTCCAACGCACGCGTATATAGCCGCTTGCGCGTAAAACATTTACAGCGACGACGAGAGGTAGAGTATAGCAACTGCGTCAAGAGCGTACGCTTGACACACAAAAACGCCCAAAAAAAACTCCGATTCATCTATCGATTAGAGTAGGTGCAGCCGCTGATTGACGCGGATGAGATTTATCTTTCCTTTATAGAGAGTAAGAAGAAGGAGAAGATAAAGTTGAAGATAACCGCTGCGGCTCGTCGCGCAGTCGTCGATGGGGTTACCATACGTACGCGCGCAGAAACTACATCGTATGCACTGTGTATATGAATATAGAAACTAGTTTTCTCGTCGTATCTCGAGACGGGCCGCCTATCATATGCGGCTAGCTGCAACTCAGCGCACGGTTATACAAACATGACACTTGTCGCTTAAGCGTAACAGTTAAATAATTTAGCATATTTATTGGCACATCGTTTTCCATATGCCAGCCGGATTACACTTTTGATATATTAATCCTTGGGCGACGACAGCGTAGTAATTATACGTGTATACACTGTGTAAGTTTATTAATTCGTTGGACACTACGATTGCGGTGCCGCATACATCAGCACATAAATATACACGGGGATGGCTTAGAATTTGGTATATTTTATAACATACACAGAAAATAAAAAAAAATCTGCAGAGGTACCCTCGAAGAGATTCAAATTATTTCAAATTATTCATATATTTGAGGGCTTCACAAAAATTATTGAAAATTTAAAAAAATTATTGACAGTGATCTGATTTGAAACGCCCATTCGAAATTTTTTTTGGCATAATAATACATATCCTCGAATTTTTTTCAATTTATCAAATTGGTGCGAAGTTAAAGTTTGCTGAAGTTTAGCGTCAGAAAACCTTTATTATTAACGAAAATCATTTTTTACGCGAAATCACTTAAACCCATATGTTGTCAAATATTTTCAGCCTGTAATTTAAGCGTTTGAGTAAACAAAGTCGCTTTATTGCGATGTAGCTACTCGTACAAAAAATATAAAAAATTCACAAATGTTCATTGATTAATTCTAAAAAAACAATCTGCACATGAATAATTTATAATAAGAAACTATGTACGTAATTTACGATCACATTAAAAAAACTCACAATTCATAAATTTTTCCTTTTATAAAGAATTATAGAAATTTTTTGATATTTATATTTTTATACGCGTCCTAACTTGGAATTTGCACTCCTGAATTGGATTTGGATCCACAATGAAAGATAAAATTAGTCAAGGTTACTCATTTTTTAGTTTCTGTTTATAAATTATTTTAATAATCCAGCTGATAGTCAATTAAAAGTCTTGTAGATGACTTCTTTTGGAAATTTCAGGTCAACTGTATGTTTAGATGTCAATTGCAGGTAAAAAGGGGGCTGGATTGCATAAAATGACTAAATCAATACTGACTTAGCCATTGATACTGGGGGCCCCAGTCCTGATACTGGGGATTTCTATGTCATGAGAAAAACTCATTAACATGCTCATTGGCGACGAGCTAAAAAGTAAACGCTAGATGTCATGATCAATTTCAAACGTGAAAAAATAAAGTTTTGCTTACATATAGATGGATAAATAGATCGATCGATGATTGCTTGATTTTTTCTTTTATTTATGTCCTTCATACTCATACAATCAGGCTTTAGTACAGACAAGTAAATTCTAGATGGTTTCAGTCAGTAGCAAAGAAATGAGTTGACATCATATACGGATAAATGCTTGAAATAACAGAAAAGAAAAAAGATGTACATTGGTCCTCTGTCCAAGAATTTAAGTTTTCGTGGGTTCGATCATGTACGTGGTGTAATTACGTGAACTTTCTCCGCGAAATAGTTAAATAATTTCCGCTCCCTCTATCTCAAAAACGAAACTAATATTATATGTAAAACTTCCTCGCTGCGCGAGGGACGCAATACTTTTTTGGCGACACTAACGATCTCCGCGAGCAGTGGCCGAGCACGCACACTTATACTCTTATATATCGACGACGTAGCCGCGCGTCCAACTTTCACTGTTGTTATGTGCCGCGCGCGTACATATGCACATAAAGCAAAGCTCGCTTCGTATTATACCTGTGCATGTGCGTTTGTGTCCGCTCGCGCGCGCGGAATATAATATAATGGCCGCGAGCCGCGAAGCACGGAGAGAAAATCGCAGCTCGTGCTCGCGCGCGTGGCGGCTATTGTGCATCGCGGTGTACACAGCTCGTACGTGTGTACTCGCGAGTGCAGGTGTAAATGCAAAAGCCGCTACGAGTGTACGTACGTTTTTGTGTATGTACACGAGGTACGTGCGTGTGCGGCTATTTTTACACTTGTCGCCGCTGCTACCGCACAAGGGACTCTTTAAATATTTCTCTTTCTCTTTCTTTCTCGCAGATATTGTGACAAAGTTCTTGCAGTATCGATGTATGAGCGTGTACAATGTGCCTGAAGTATGTAAGGTGCGAAATTCAATGCGCTCTTTAGTGAAGCTGAATTCTCACTTTCGTTCGTTTCAATGTACTTGCTATAGGGTACACGTTACTTTCGTGGAAAATCTGCGAAATTATGACGTTACTGCCTTATTTTCGCTTCCCATTTTTTTCCTCCTTTTTTTTGCAACCAAAGCACTTGTGCGTGATTCCCGTGGACGCACGTCTTCGTGTTTACAAACAACAGAAGCAGCAGCGGCGTAATCGTCCTTTCGCAACTTATACGCGAGCTCTTTAACTTTGTCATTGTGTGTGTGAATGCTCGCTGCTCTGTCGGCACATTGTATACGCGCACTGTTGCGAAGGAAGTAAGGCACACTTTTTCTTTCAAAACAGGTGGACAGTATCGGATCGATAAGAGAGAACGGCCTATTTCAGCGCACTTTAAGAATTTTCGATCGTTTGTCAATTTGCTATCAAGGTTTTTCAAGGAAATTGTTCAGTCAAATTAGTTATTAGGTACTCATAGATTATTACTGCGTAAAAAATTGTTTAATGATCTTTCTATCACTGTGGACTAAGGGTGAGCAATATGTAGATGTTGCGCTACACGAGATTCCCTATTCTCTTCCCTGTATAATGCACCGTTTTAAAAAGCCTTGAATTGAATACATGTACGATTCTTATAGCAAAAATTACCAAAAAAAATTTTTAATTCTGTATTACTGTAAAATTGAAACGTTTCGTTATAAAATAACTCAAAGCATTCATGACAATTCAACGATAATTAAAACCTGTACCCACCGCTAGATGGCGAGTACCTTTACTGGTAAATCTGCAAGTGACACAGTAAAAATAACTGTATAAATCAAAGCAAAAGTGATGTTATAAATCAAAGCACAGGTATAATTTTTTTAGAATTGTTGGTGTAATTTTATTTCTCTATATGTAAGGTTACGCATATAAAGATCGTGTTTGATATTTTAAAAAATTAACAAAAGCATTATTAAATTGAACCGATACTTTATGGAGATACACAGACTGCGTTGAATTGATTATACTTCGAAAAAACTACGAGGATGTATATAAATGGGTCTTTCTTCATTCTAAAGAATTCATCAATAAAACTGAAGGAATTTTAAAGCATCGAAGCCGGTATTTGTGGACAATGTGTACGATGTGTTTCTAAGTACAATCATAAACATTAATTTCATTAAATTTAATAATGTACAAATTTGATTTAATTGAGGTTTCACATTTCAAATGTAGTATAACTTTATGGTAATCTAACTGAAGGT